TTACATTCTATTCATTTTTGTTATACAAAATGATAGCTATTTGGTTTTCACAATTTTCCGATTGACAGCCTGTATATATTTGAGAAAAGATATAATAAATGATAACGAAATATAATATGCAAAAAGTAAAAGGAAAGAATAATACATTATTAAGAGACATACCAAGATCAAAATTAAGAACAAGAATTAAGAGCTGATTTTACTACTCTCTGGCACAATTATCATATTCTATCTCAAGGCAATGACATAGGCAACCCAGCCGGTCTATTTCAGCACTATGCTCGTACGTACACACAGCCAGAAGTATTCAAAATAAGGGCTCTTTTGGAAGCAGCTTCTCTAAAATATACTTATTGCCAGTTTACATTAATAGAAAATTATCTATTTATTACATTAAATCTTACTCTTGTATTATAAACTGTTATTCTTAAACTTATAAAGAGTTTGAATTAAATTATTTTATAAAAAAATTGTCTTGCTTTTTCATTCAAATAAAATTGTAGATAACTTAAAATAATAAGAACTAAGAATAGGGGCTAAGTTTTCTCTAGTTTTTTAATTTGGTTTTAATATTAATATTATTTTAAAAGATCTACTATTTTCAAGAAATAGATTTCAGGTTAACATTCTAATGCAATGATGAAAAGTATTAAAATCAAACAGTTCAATTTTTATTAACACAAATTTAAATTTGATTTCTTTAAGACTTAAAATTTCTATAAATGTCTTCAATTATTTTTATTGTTAGTAGCCGCATGTCTCTGAGGCATATGTGAAATGTTATATTTGTAAGGATTCCCTAATTGACTTATCTCAATCAGTATATACCTTCAACATTCCACACTGTAATAAAGTCTTATATCTATTATATAAAAAAAAATTATAAGGAAAAAAATTTTGCTGAAAAGAATATTTTATAAATGATTCTTTGATCTAAATGTAGATATAGTTTCAAATATTTACTTCTTTCTTGTAATTTATTATTTAAAATATATATACTATTATAAATTATAATAGTTGTCAAAAATTTCATTTCACATATAGTTAAATTTTCGGGAAATAATGTATAACAATTATGATATATCTATATTTAGGTGCACAAGCATTTTCCCGCAAACATCCTTTATCATGTTGGCTGTCTACAATGTTGTCCGTTTTTGCAAGCAGTATGCTGTGCAATGGATTATTAGGGGAACCAATTCTTGCACCATTGAAAAATACACCACAAGTGGTAGTTGCAACTATTGTGTGGTCAGTAATGTCTGTGTGGCCTGTTATAGTGTTTTGTATTTCACATAAACTATTATTTTTTAAATATTATGTCAATTTTACAAAACTATTCAAGAAAAATTTTAATTAGAGAAAAATTAGTGATGTCAATAAAAAATATTTGCATTATTAAAAGAAAACTTTCCTAAATGTTTCAGGTATGTGATATTTTACACACCGTTTGACATTGGATATAAGATTGCCAAATTTTTACCAGTTAAAATAGTATGTGCTGCTATGAAAGAAATCTATAGGCAAGTAAATGTTATTTATCAATTTTCAAACTGTTTTTTTATTTCACCATATGTTTATAAGAACTATGTACTTGCACATATATAAAAGAGAATATAAAAACGATTTAAAATAAAATGCCAATGTATATAAACCTATGCTATTTTTTATAGGTGTAAAAAGGTGTACGATGGAGTAACTCACGCAGGGAAACTTTATCCAAATGCATATCTTATTATGATATTGATTGGAACGTTCAAAGGTTTGTCATAAAACATGAAATGTATATCATATTATTTCCACAATTAAAATATACGAACGCGCGCTATAAAATAAGCTAATATATTTAACAGTTAACATATGTGCAATTATAACATTTATACAGGTAACGGAGCTGAATTTACCAAATTATTTGAGCGTCTTATACGTGGCGTATGGACACCAACTGCAATGGAATTTATGCAACCCAGTTTGTACGTAAAATTTATAATATTTATATGAACAAATATTTAAATTATGAAGGACCATACAATTTCACTTTTTGCGATTATTCGGGGATCATTTCATTTCTACATTTTTTAATGTATTTTTTTAATGGAAACCGAAAGTTATATAATTATAGTAATGACACTATACTCAGAGAAAAATTGGTACATTAAAATAAAGAATCCTTATTCACTATTGCTACAAAATCACTACGAAATAAATGACAGTGATATCATTATGACATCCATCATGTTTTATTTAAAAATTCATTCAGAATTATTGATCTAGTTCGTCATTATCATGAGAATTTTCGGTTTCCATGAAAAAAATACATAAGGAAATATATAGAAATGAAACAATCCCCGAACGGTCGCGAAAGAAGTTGTAGCCTCTTTTATAATATATAATTATGTTTTTAACTGACATAAATATAATGAAAACAAATAATTTTTTTTACAGTCCTACGAAAGCATCCATGGTTGCATCAATAATCTTTGTGTTAGATAAGAAGACTGATCTCATTTCTGCACCTCATGCTCTTGTGTACTTTGGTATTGTCATCTTCTTCGTCTACTTCAAGGTAAAGTCCATATTCTAACAAAATATCTGCTAAAAATTTATACATTTGACGTAAAAACAAAATTATATTAACAATATCATTTTTCAGTTATCATCAATTTTGCTTGGCATTCATGATCCATTTGTGCCATTTGAAAATTTGTTCTGTGCTTTATTCTTGGGAGGAATTTGGGACTCATTGGCTAGATTGTTTGGTCGTGGTCAAGCTAAAGACGAGAAAGCGGACGCAAAGAAAACAAATTAAATAACAGTAAACACAATATACATCTTCAAATATTATAAAACGCAAATATTTCGAGATAAATCAAATTTTATTTCCTTTTCCAGAAAACATGATTTCATCAGAAGTGAGCATGCATTGATTTAACAAATAATAAAATTATTTAAAGCTAGTCAAATAAGAGTTATATGTGACTGTTGACAAATTCTGAAATGTTGAAGCTAAGTACAATAATTTAACATATAGGATGATCTACAATACTTTAATTTACTTTCCAAAAACTTTATTTTGAATTTTAGAAAAAAAATATTTTAGACTAAAGGAACAGTTTTGAAGAGGATTTTTATTACGTATTTTGATTATGTTGTTTTTTTTCTTTATGGAAATGTCAAAAAGATATATATTTTTTATTTTATTCCCGCAGATATTAACATAAAATGTTAAAAATATCTTGTAAAGTAATTTTCTTATAATCATACCTTGATTATCAAAAAATTAATAGTTTACGAGATTAACATTTTATGTCAATATGTGTCGGACTAAATTATGTAAAATCTCTCATAAATTATTAGTTTTTTTTTTATATCTTTAACCTTTATATCTTAACACTTTTATATGTAAAATAATTATAAAAATCATATGCAAAGAAATCATACAATTCCATTTAAAAAATTGGAGATGATCTTTATATCTTTTTGACGCCTTCATTTAGAAGAAAATCAATTTGACCAAAATACGTTCCTTTCAAAACCGTTCTACTTTTGTTTAAAAAATTGCTTACAAAATCTAAAAAAAAAAGTTTTTAGGAATAGTAAAATAAATTAAAATAGGTCACCCTGTATATAAATATATATATATGTATAAGTATATTTTAAGAGAGTGAAACTTATTAGGTTTTCAAACGTGTGTTATATAAAAATATCAACAGTATTATTTCAGTTAAAATAAAACAATCAATATATATATATATATTACACATCATTTTTTTTATTTATACTTTCACATAAATGAAAAAATTTTGCAATTACGTAGAATTTTAATCTCGTTTATCAATTATACGTTATTTGTGGATTATCTTTAATTTGAATTGTTATCGTCAAGAATAATAAGATATGCTGAATTGATTATATATTTAGCGATTATAATTATATTCTTTATACCAATTTTAAATTTTACGTAATTTATTAGCTGATTTCAAAATTTGTTATCAAGTTGTAGTACAATGTGCAATTTCTACTATTATGCAAATACATGTCAGAATATATTCTGGCAATTTGCATCTCAAATAGAATTGTTTTATTTATTCATTATATGTATAATATTTATATATAGAAGAAATGAATGTACTCAGGACAAATAATTAATAACTGATCATTATTAGATCATTTATATTACTAACTTATAAATCCTATAAAAAAACAAAGTATATAAGACATTAAAATTGTAATAACATTTATGTAAAAATGAGCAATATGAAAAAATGACAAATGTCTCTTTTATACTATTTTATTAAATTTAAATACTGATATCATATATCACACATACGTGAAAGTTTGCTTTGATTTATATCATTAGATATGTGTCCTTTACAATTAAGAATACCTATATTCTAATTGTGAAAATATTATACGGTTTCATGTAATAAAATGGAATTTGAATTAAAAATCATAATTTATTCAATTACCTGGATAGAAAACTGATTATCGAACTATAAAGTTTATTTGTATGATTTATTTCACGCGTTTATTAATCATATTACATTCATAAAAGTACTGCTTATACGTATGATCGTGACATTCTGTACAAATCAGTTCTCCTTTGTGTATACTTGCGTGATCTCGCATATAATGGGATTCTGGAAATACGTTGAATCGATGATATTCCAAAGTTTGCGATATTTGTTTTGATCCAATCATGATGACATGGCAATGAACTTCTGCATCCTTTGTAGTATCTATAAATTCTATTCGAGGAATTTGGTACTGTACGTAATAAAGATGTACAGTAATCTATACAATTCACTTCTTTCTCGCGTACATGAGAAATGCCAGGATGTAACAGTTTATCATAATATTTTTTAACTGATACATATTTCTTCTGTAACATGTTTTTCGAGTACTTATCGACGTTCCACAGAACATGGGCATCGCGGACACATGTCTCCTTGTCCAATTTTAGAATATCTTCGCTATTATTAGATTTGATTACACGAATCAAAATAGGCTCATGATTTTGAGTAGCCACACTTATCTTTTCCTCAAAATTGGAATTGGTTACAATGCCTGTATCTTGCAATTGCTTCGAAGTATACTGAGTTTCCGAATCACGAAGCAATATTTGCGGCAATGATATATTTAAATCGATATCATGGTTTTCTATACTCGCAGTAACATCTTTATCCTTGACAAACGGTTTATCCATCATTGTTTCTGCATGTGTGGTATCATTTTCCAAAAGACTGTAATCTCTAATTTTCGATGTGGAGGGTTCATATACTTCTACGTCTTTCGAGTTTGCATTAGCGGTTGTAAAGTGATCTACGACATCCTCTTTACTATCTTGAGTCTGATTCGAATTCAGAGCAGAGTTTTTCCTTGAAAGGCAAATACTTTTTGATTTGGATTTACAAAATTTATTTAATATCTGTCTCTTTGACCAATCTACAAGCGTATATATCTTCAAAATTTCATCTGCACATTCTTTTATTTTATTTAAAACGATAAATGTATTGATCGCATCATCTTTCTTTACATCGTTTGTTTGTACTGAAAAAAGTCACAATAAAAAGCTTCAATATACATTTTTTTAATATATACATTAATTATATACATTTATTATTTAAAAATAGTCATTAATAGTAATTATAAAATATTCAAAAATACCGACCATTCTTACTATTCATTACAAAGGCATGCTTCATTAGCTGTAAAAGGGCTTCAAAGGGTTTTGCTATGGCGTTATCTTTCTCCACTTTTTCCAAACACAGTAAACAACTTAAACTTTCAAGTTCAGCAGCAGAGCTAGCGTTAGAATGTATATTCTCGTTTCGAAATTTGCATGGAATTTGTTCACATATAGTTACCTCGGAAGCTGTATGAAAAATATAGTACACAAAATTCGTTGATATATTTAAAATAAATCTATACACATTGTTATGAGAAATAATCACTACTTACAATTAGAATTTACATCTATCTTTGATAAGTGCGGCGTAACAGAATAAACGTTTGTTTTTGTCTGCATTATTTTTTCCAAGCATTGAAGTAAAGATTGTGTCACTGCAGAATTGTGTTTGATAATCTCCATTACGTTGTGAGAGAGAAGAGAGGAGCAGGTTTTTTTAGTGCAAACTTCATTTTCAACGAGTTTCTTGTTACCTAATGCAAAATGAGCTTTTTCCGCTTCTAAAAGAAAAAAAAGTCAATTGATAATGCTATTTATGACATTTGTAAATTTTTTTTAATTATGTTAACCAAATCACATTATCCGTTTCTAAATCAACAGTTAAATTTTATCAGATATAAAATTTAATATAAAATAATTTAATTAAAAATATATATTATATCAGGTCTGTCCAATTTGACATTACTATTACAGTTACAAAAAAAAATACCAAAAAAAGTAATGGTAACAATTAACGCGTTACTTTTATTCCCTGATATCATGAGATTTAAAAACCTTTCTGATCATGATTACCATCTTTCTGACATTTATTAGTTGTGAATTCCTTCAAATCTCTTTGTATCAATGGCAAATAATTTCCATCGGTAGTTATCAATATAAAATTCGGCATAGAGCCTTCTACGGTCTTTAATTTTATACCAATCGTATTTCGCATGTCGTTTGTAGGGCATTTCATGATATTTGCATCAATTGACTTTGTTTCTTGTGTCGAAGAATATATTTGAAAAACTTGACAATTACTTGGATTTGCACAAATAGTATTCTGAATCTCCTTATCACATTGTTTCACAGTATTTACTGCTACTTGCTTTGACACTTCCTGAAATGTTAAAGGCTTACTTTAGATTTCTCTATAGCATTTCTGTCCAATATCTGTCTTTGCTTTCGATACGCAAACTGTATTTTGTATTCCCTTATTGCATTGCTCAATGATGGTCCCTACTTGTTTCGTTCGTCTTTCCGGAAGTAATTGCTTGCTTGATAATTGTGCTTTTTTTGTACAGAATGTTAGTTTGGATGCAACAGTTGCTACTGATGTCGTCTCTTTCATTTGTTGATTTATGTAATTGCAAGTGCTTTGTGGATAGTATATATAATTATTATTTCTGAAATTAATTCATTTTAAATGAATATATAATATATAGTAGTTCAACATCTTAACATTCAGATCGGAATGGCGCTTCGTATCTTTAGTAATGTTTTTATACATAATTAGTTTTCGATATGTTTGCAGAATAGCCTGTATAACTTGGTAATACACTAGAAAAGGTTGGACATGGAATTATATTCTCGTATTTTCCTTGATACATATTGTCTATTATTCGATGTACTTTGTATCCTTCGTAAAGTTTATTAGCTAAATTGAAGTATTCTGGACAAGGAACTGTGATACTTAACGGTTTTATATTTTCGTAAGCTTTTTTCACAGTTTTTATATCCAATTTGTTAGGATTTATATCTTCCCAACCACAGGATGGACACTGCAGCAATTGTGTATTACTCTGCCCTTCACTTTCGTGTTCAAAACTCCCTAGCATATAGTGTTTGAATGAGTGATAAATAAATTCATTTTATAACAGCAAATTAAAATAGAAATTATTATTTCTTAAATACTTTTTTTATCAGATTTTGTAAATTTATTGTTTTTTCTTGATTTTGATTTATAATCTTGCATACAAGGAAAATTAGATACATTTTTATATCTGCTGTTGTTGTCATATGGTACAGTAATGCAATCTTTTACAGGAGATATCATTTTCATTGATCCTATTCTGTTCTATTCATAATAATATATATAATTCATTAAAATATTAAAATTTTTATTATTGATATCTCAATGATCTACCAATTTATAAATTATTTTGAAAAATTGATGTATACTCCTTTCAAAAGAATTTCCTTTATAAATATCCTTTGAGTTATATATATATAAATTATATTATATATTTTACCTGCAACTTGCTTTCATCGTCAATCACCTTTGTTAACATTTCAACTATTATAGAAAACCAAGCTAAAGGAGATTTATATGGTTTGCCTGATTGAAACCCTTTAATAATTCTTATTTGTTCCTGTCCATATCTAAGATAAGAAGAACACTTTTTATTCAATACTTTTAAATTCATTAATTCTGGATGAGTAAATATCGAATATAAATTTTCGCATAAAAAATAAATAAAAATTTTTATTCTTTATGTTTTTTTTACTCTTATATGTTAAATTTTTACTTTTTTCTTATCAATTTAATCTGTTCTAGACAATCAGATATATTCAATTCGGGTATGTTAAGTTCTTTAATTATATTCTTGAGTGCATCATTTTTGGCTAAACAATCATAATATTTCACATAATATGGATTCCAAAGACATGGGTGCTTTTGATATGCATTTAAAAAAACAAGGGTAACATTTTCGTTCCATTTTAAAGACATAATTACATTTAATTCATCAATAGCAACATTTAAGATTTATATATTTTACGAATAGAAAACTTATACAATTTTGCGTGACACTCACATGAAGAAAACTGCGATTCTTTATAAAGTCTTAAATGAATATGTCTATTTATATCAATAATATTCGATATAACCAGATGTAAAAAGAACCACGATAGAACTATGATGCCTTTTTATATCACGAATATAACGAGAATTTTTTATTGTTTAATATCAATTTACTATTTATACGTATATAATTACTTTATAACTATTTACTTAAATATTTGCTTTACAAAGTATACTTTGTTCTACACATTAATGAAAATATTGTCAACGAAAAAGATCACATTATTTGCATTTGTTAATATTTTTATTGATGTTTATCATATATGTATTAAATTTAACTAAAGAATTTATTTCCTCTCAATATATAATTACACTTATACATAAATCTAACTTTAAATAATAATTTAACTAAAAATATTGATTGCAATATACCAATCACACATTGGTACTTCAATAATTGTGCCGAGATACTTGTTCTATTCTCGTTTACTACTTGTAGCAAAATCTATCATAATTCTTGTTCTCTTTAATTTTAGCAAGTAATAAACATTCCTTTAATGTTAGACCACAGTTATAAGTTTTATCTTTACACATTACTTCACAGTCGTTACAATCGCAACAGCAGATTGAGTTGTTACTCTGATCCATTAATTTAGATTCTAAAACTTTTAATCGCGCTTTTGTTACCAAATTTTGTATTTTCTTTTCCAATTCCACAGCAGTCTCTAAAAATAAGCTATTTCAGTGACAATTACTCCCTACTATGATCAACAAATTTTACTCACGAATATCAATAGTTCGTAATTGAAACGCTATGCTTTTCCCGAATATATCAAAGTTATCTTCAATTCTTTTTTTGCCATACACTTCTATAGGAATATCTGTACATGTAGAACGATCCTGTTATAAAAGATTTTATATTGTTTTCTCCCTTCCTCTTGAAAAATTAATATTATAAATTACTCGCTGTTACTTAGTACATATAAACCTGTTTTCCTTTATTGCCGCCTGCGATGCATTTTCGTTCCTTTAACAATATGATATTATAACGTTATTGAAAATATCTGTATTTTATACTTTATTAATATCTTATATTTGTTTCTAACATGGAGCAAATCCATTTGCGTTTCTTGTTCTACGGTACCATTACTCGTTTCTGTCGCTACGTCAACCGTTTGGATTGGAGTTGCAGAAGGGAGAGTATCTTGCAATTTCTGAGCAGAATGAATGGCATCTCTGCACTTGAACAATATTATTGTAATCTTATTTCGTGATATCTTATAGAGTTATATAAAATATATAAATAGTAAATCAATTTTAGACCTTAATTTTAAACACAACTCAATCTCTTGGAGTTCACACGTTCCACAGGTATTATGTGAATAAATTTGTTCGCCCTCTGATTTCTCAAAAGATAAATGAAAAAATTTATCTTGAATATTGCTATCATTACATTTTTGATGATTGTTATTTTGCTGCAAATATATTTGTGCATTACAATATTACAAATATAACATAAAACAATAGTATGTATTATAAACATGAACAACTTCATAATAATTTTATAAATATTCAATATTATAAAAATATTCAATAATGTTTATATGATTTTATAATTATTATATAGTATTTTATAGCACGCAAGTATAATTTAACAAGAAATCTATATAATTATTTTTCATATACTATTTTTGTTGCATACCTTTCTAAAATTATTATGAGATAATGGAAAGAAAAGCATATGCATTCTTTTAAACCATTTCACTTTAGGCACGTATAATTTTTCGTAAGATATAGCTGCAGCGATTTTTGATAGTTCATAACAGTATTCTTTTTTTACATTCACAATCCTGTTAATACAATCACATATTGTTAATCCAGGAATATTAATAGAATTTTTTATCTTCTTATACGCTTCGTAACGTAATGATTTGTTATTGAACTCGGGATGGAATAAATTCCACAAACATTGATATTGTTCATAAAGTGCTATTAATTTCTCGGTATCATCCTCGGTCCATGCATTTGGCATATTAAAAAATATTTTATGATAAATCAATTAGGTTATTTAACCTTCTTAATCAATACTATCAAGATGAAAAGATAGATTTAAACAAGTTTGAACACTGATTTGCATTTAGCTGATATTTTTTTATCAGAAAACGTGTGTGATTGACAAAGAAAATATATCACAAATGTTACAATATGCTTCTTCATTGTACTGATCGATTACAAATACAAATAGAAATTTAGAAAGAGAAGAAAAAGATGAAGGATGCAATGTATATGTGCATCATTACAAAATAAATGACAGGTTTAAAATGAAAATGAGGTATTAAATCTCATCAATTTCAAATATATTTTTGTACATATTTCTTTTTTTGTATCACACATTAGTAGTATAAATATAAATTGTCCATTTGTTTTGTAAATTTTATATTTTATATTTACATGACAAAATATCTTTTGCTATTCATCAAGTATGCAATTCCTAATTTATAACAATGCCTCGTATATTCTACTTTATTGCTACAATTTATGTTTTCTCTATTGCAATAGGAATTTATTTTCTTAGATTTCAGCGAATAACTGGTCGTTTTGTTAAAGTTTGAAAAATGCGGGCGGATTTATAGTTACAAATATCGCTTTTTGATTTAGTAGTAGCATAATTAAAAATAATAAGTACTACAATTAATATATCATTATATGTTTTTAAGTATAAATGTTATATATATGTATATATATTTGATACTATATATTTTGATTGTATCATATGGCAAGGTTCATCATAATTTATATATGATAATAATCAAATATTTTATAAAATCAATTAATTGCGTAATGATCTCTTTCACAGACTAAGAGAACGGATACTTGATAAAATAACTAAAAAAATGTATACACAACAAGATTGTTGTGTAATAGACATTATTGATAATCAACTGATAACTGAGTTACATAATTAAACCGTAAGCGGGTTTATAATTTTCTTTTCGACAAAAATATATATCCTATCTTCTAGAAATTAGCTCAACTCAGTGATGTACTACGTTATTTATAAATTATATATACAATATTATTTTCGTATAGAACAATTATACATAATGTATATTTTTCACTCATGATCATTGTTAATCTATATTATTGTATCTTACTGTGCTTAAATCTATATTACACGCGTTATAACTATTTTTAAGAAGTTGTTCTTAAGAAGTCGTTTCAATTGTTGAAGACAATATAGGTAGCTGCTGTGGGATGAAGTTTACAACCTCATGATATACAAGTTCTATAAATGACAATACTCAATGTGATAATGCTCTAAATTAAAACAGACATTAATAAAATGTATTACCTTTCCATTTCTCTACTGGAAGATCCATATCTTCGAAACTCTGATCATATGGTAGAGAAACAGGTTCATCAGTTGGATCCGCATATTGTGCAAGATATGGATGTGCTAAAGCCTGTTCCGCTGTAATCCTTTTTTCTGCATCCAATTCCAACATCAATTCCAGCAAATCAATAGCTAGACAAAAATTCGATACGATTCTATATGCATTGTTCGACAAGCATCGATATAAATTACCAGATACTTTTTTATTACCTAATGGATTAGCCCCACGAAACACATCTTTGAAATTTTTTTTTTTTAACGGTGGTAAACTCTGAATATAATTTCTAGCCTGTAACAATAATTCAATTATGATAGAAAAATTATGTCATTTGTATAAATTAAACTATATTCTGCATATGTACACTATATATTATACTTTCTTTATATTTCATATATCTTTATCTCTATATAAATCTTCCAAAAGTTAACTTTAAATTAACATTTTTATGATAATAATAAAATTATGAATTGTATCTAAAGCATTATAAACAAACTATATAAACATAAATATTATATATTAGATATCAAATTGAGATAGTCAAAAGTTAGTTTTAAAAAGTACACATTTGTATTTCTTTTATGTATGCATAATAATTACATTTTAAGTTTTAATATAAAATTTAATGTATATGTAAATGTAAAAAACAAATTTACCTCTTGGCTAGTAATTTTGCTTAATGTTTCTTCTGTGGGTGTACCACAGAGTACTAACACTCGTGTTAGGTGATCAATGTCTGCTTATGGTTAAGGTATATTTGGAAAAGCAGTTATTAATTAAATAATAATTAAAAAGTAATTTTATTAACGCTAAATACATAAAACCATTCCCATAACTTGCAAGTAATTGCATTTAAAGCAAGCTGCATACTTGTTATAAAGCAGCGTGAATTACAGCTTTAAATAGACATCAAATGTGAAAAATTTAACTTTATACACTATTTCATTAATACGCTATATTTGCATATATTAAATTTCATATAAAATTTAAATCTTTTTTTGTTAAGGTGTACTATATGTTACAACTTTGTATTAAAAATATACGTTGCTTGAACATTTTTCATTTAGTATTAGTTTTTTTTTAGTATCTATTAAGGCATACTTTATGTTACAATTTTGAACTTGAAATCTACATTATTTGAAATTTTCTCATTTAGTAATTATATGTAAATATACACTATTTTTAATTATTATTATCTATAAATATAATTTATCAAAGTACAGATTATTTGTTACTAAAATATTGTATTAATTACAATGTTAAATTCAAGAATTTGCCAAGATGTAATATTCATTTTCATTATTCATTTTACAAGTTAACAAGAAAAAGAAAAGATTAAACATAATTCACATTTTATGTAAAATGTATAAACGTGCATATTTCATGCTATAGATAAAGTAATTTAAGTAAAATTAAAACTTACCGATTCTGACGATATTTTTTTCATAAACTCGTCTCGTGGAGTACCCAAAATTTCCATAATTAAATTCAGTTGATGAATATCTGCTCTTGCTAAGGCTCCACTATATTTTTCTTTAAAAACACTAAATATCCCCTTTGTTAAAAATATCTATTATTA